AGTGGAGACAGCGATGGTTCGGACTGCTTTCAGTAGAGGCTCCATGGCAGCAGGTGTACGGGATGCCCTGGTTTCCTTGTATTCGCGAAAGCCCTGAACAGTCTCTCTTCTGTCCACTTTCAGCACTTCGCACAAACGTAGCACCTCTACGTCCCCATACTGTACGTCTAACTCCTCTTCAGGCCAACTTCCAGGATGGATAACTTTCATGTCCTGGATTAGCTGATTGTCCCGGGCCTCCCGGCCATGTAATGGGATTTCTCTTGTGCTGACATGAGAGGAGGTTGTGGAAGTCATTCTGTGTCTCAGATTCTCTACCATACTGCGGAAAAAACTGACCTGCATGAATCTGTACAAGCCTGCCATTCTCACGCAGGGCAACACCCTTGAAGGACTTCTCAGCTAGAGCTGTATGAACTGTAGTCATGTGTGGGCCAGGCATGGTGACCATGGATTCAAAAACTCGTATTTCTCGAGTTAAGAGCCTATCTGCTGTAGGCAGTGTCATCTCTCTTTTTTGGAGTTGCCGAGAGAGGGTCGCTGAGCTCTGTGAGCGCATCGTACATCAGTCCCAGATTGCTGACAAACGTTGCAGATGTGAGCACATCATCCAGGCCCTTGTACTTTGCTCTGTCTCTGGAATCCCTGCTCGTGTCGTTTGCAGCATTTGTGAAGTGATCATGAAGCACTCGGTAGTTTTCCCAGACTGCTCTGACGCTCCTTTCACTTGAAGCCACCCAGCGGATGGACAAAACACGCCCTATCACCAGGAGACGCTGTCCGACTGCTTGCGCACACTGCGCTAACTGCCTCTGATTTTTGGGGGAGGCATGGAACAAGGAATAGAGTTTGTCAAAAAAGATCTGGAAATGATTGAGCCCTGAGACCTCCTTGACCACATCCCCAACTGCCAGCTCTAGACGATGATTGGAGCAGTGCCACACAAACAGGCTTGGGAATTTACTACACAACTGGGTAGCAACGCCTGTTCTCTTCCCTAGCATGACTGAAGCCCCATCACATGCAAAAGAAACGAAACACTGACCTAAAAAGTCCTCGTTAAAATCTCTTCCAAGACACTCCATTAACGCCTTTGTAATGTCATCAGCCGTTGTTCCATCCAACTCGATCAGCTCCCAAAAAAACGTTTCGGGCTCAGCATCAGCTAATGCTGAGCGTAGACACACAACAAGCACCGTTTTACCACTAATAGTGGTAGATTCATCGACCAAAACACAGAGTTTTCTTTGGTTTTCTGTAATGTCTTTTGCCATTTTTTTCTTCAGCTCATGAGCTATGTGGTCGATGATTTCGCCACAGGTTTTATTGGAGTGCAAAACCCTGCCCACGTTCAGCCCATTCAGTTTCTGTACATTCAAATCAATTGGCATGTCTGTGAATGGCCGGCTATGTTTGCCAATTTTATATGCCGTTCGAAAAACTCTGATAGTGGTGTCTAATTCAGATGTATGCATAGACTGCACTTGATGTTGAATAGTTTCACGTGAAGCAGATGTAAGGATGTCAGCAGCTTTTACATGGGCTTGTGATTCTTTATGTTCTTTGATTTTTTTTTCCCAGGCTAGCTTGTTGTTTGCCCTTGTCAACACCGAAATGAGACACTGCACACTCACCCCATTCAGTTGACAGTTTCAGTCCTTGTCCAGTGTGTATTCCCAAAGATTTGACATCTCTGCATATCCGACATCCTAGCTTCTTATCTTTAAGAAGGAGCCATGCATTGGTCTTGCAAAAATATTGCACCTGGTCCGTTGTCCATCAGTCAGGTGCATCGCTTTGCCAGGTGTTGGTGGTGGCAGTTGCGCCAGCAGCAGCTAACGTTAGAGGCTCTGGAGGAGGCGGCGGAGCTAGTGCTAATGCTAATGCACTAGAACTTGGAGCAGGAGGATCAACCAAAGAAAGCTCCCCATCAGACACAATTTCCAACACAGGCACAGCATTCTCTGTATTTGAAGTTTCTTCCGGCGACAACCGCTGTCTTTTTGCACTTTTATGAATCCACGCTAACATTTTAGAAATGCTCATTTGTGACGTGACTTGCTTCCTTCTCTCGGGGGCGTGCCTGCTCTGTTCTATCACTCTACATAGCCACCCACTGGGTGGGAGTTGCACTGCATAAACACAACACACGTGCATCTAGGTATGTAAATTGTAAAGCATTAAAACATGGTTTTACTAACAGTTTTCAGTATGTTGTTACTTCGGCATTATTATTATTATTATTTTGAAACGTGTATTACTATTAAATCACGGTCAAATAGGTTAATTTTGACATAGTCGTTTCCACCACAGTATTTACATGGAGAAGATAAGCCCCACCACCCTCTCCAGCACGTTCTGGTTGAATGACAGGAGTAAACAGCTGACAGCCGCTGTGAAACTCCAGCGGTTAGAGCGATGAGAATGTCCGTTCGGCACCTCATGACGCATCTACTGAGTACCGGGCGGCTGTATATATATATATGGATGTATAATAAGA